CTTTATGGCTGTCTCAAAAGCAGATGGGTTTAATATTACCCTAACTAACCAGCCCCCTAATTCTCCTGATCTTAACATACTAGATCTTGGGTTCTTCAGGGCAATTCAGTCTTTGAAAGACCAACAAGCACCTAAGAATGTGGATGAACTGTTAAATGCAGTGGATGTAGCATTCTACCATCTTTCACCCACCACTCTAAACAAGGTTTGGTTAAGCTACCAATATGTGATGTTAGAGATTATGAAAGTGGAGGGGGGGAACAACTACAAGCTACCACACCATGCAAAAGACAGAATGATCACAGAAGGCAGACTACCAACAAGCATAGAGGTTGCTGTGGAGTTACTAGAAGCCACAGAAGCTGTTTTATCCCAACAACAGGCTACTAATGGCCAGTTCATCCATGAAGATGATGAGGACTAAGTCATCTTCACTAATGAACTCAATCCATTAGTTCTGAAGGCATGTTTTTTGATTTTTTGTAAATGCCTTTTTTTTGTCATAATATTGAGGCCTATATTTTTGTAATTTTGTGGAGGCCTAAGAAATTTGGAATGTTTAGAGGCCTATAATGCTGTAGCATAACAGACACCTTTCTCAAGCCTTATGGCTCTGTTATTCAGTATAGCAGCCTCAGACAAATCAATGCTCAGACTATATTGTCATCATAGCAGCCTCACACAAAACAATGCTCAGACCAATAAGGTCATCATAGCAGCCAACAAGGCTCAGACCATCAAGGTCATCATAGCAACCAACAAAGCTCAGACCAATAAGGTCATCATAGCAGCTAACAAAGCTCAGACCAATAAGGTCATCATAGCAACCAACAAAGGTCAGTCCAATAAGGTCATCATAGCAGCCTCACATAACCCTTACCATTCAGTCATACAAGCATACATAGATACCAATCAAAGCAGCCTCATAGACACCAACAAAGCTCAGACCAATAAGGTCATCATAGCAGCCAACAAAGCTCAGACCAATAAGGTCATCATAGCAACCAACAAAGGTCAGTCCAATAAGGTCATCATAGCAGCCTCACATAACCCTTACCATTCAGTCATACAAGCATACATAGATACCAATCAAAGCAGCCTCATAGACACCAACAAAGCTCAGACCAATAAGGTCATCATAGCAGCCAACAAAGCTCAGACCAATAAGGTCATCATAGCAACCAACAAAGGTCAGTCCAATAAGGTCATCATAGCAGCCTCACATAACCCTTACCATTCAGTCCACTAAGGTCATCATAGCAACCTCACATAACCCTTACTACATAGATACCAATCAACAATGCTCAAACCATATATGCATCATAACAAAGAGATTTGAGTATATAAGAACACCATATAATCATCATTGCTGCCCCAGAATCAAACACATCTACACACACAACATACATGTAACACAAACCAGACAACAATTTCCGAAACATACCAACATACAGATTTGCAATGCAAAATAGATAAAGAAACAAACTCCCCTGTTAGGCGTTAACGTCCCACATCCTCGATTCCCAGCCGGGTAGGATGAGTTTTAAGAAGTCCTCTAGACCAGGATAACGAATGTACTGCATTCGAACATCCTTCCTTATTTTAGCCCAAGCATCACTGTCCGGAAGCTGAACCTCCACCGCACCTCCACCGACCTCCTCCTCTGCCTCCTCTTCACTGTCCGGAACCACTAAGGTCATCATAGCTCCACCGTCCTCCTCCTCTGCCTCCTCTTCACTGTCCGGAACCACTAAGGTCATCATAGCTCCACCGTCCTCCTCCTCTGACACATCTTCACTGTTCGAAACCACAGGCTTATCCGGACCTTCACTGTCTTTGATCTGGGACTCCAAAATGCTATCCGGAACCATAAGATCCGCCATGCATTCAGTGCATGTAGGTAGATCTTCCATGGTATTCGGATTTAGGGATTTGATTTTAGGACAGACGGTTAGATCAACAGATAAGCTAGGGTTAAACTGGAAATGAAATCAGAGAAGGAAATAAAGTTCAACGAAATGAAGAGTGCAAGAAAGGGAGGACAAATGGCCGGAATAGTGTAAGACAGAGGTGAAGTGCTATCGCCGGAGTAATGAAGGAGTGAGAGGAAAGTGGGTGGGAATTGTGTTGCGGAAGTGGTAACGACAGAAGGTGAGAGAGCGAATAAGTGAAAATGATAAGGATAAGTGTGGGAGGGTAAAGAATAAGGAGGGGTAAAATGGGTTTTTAATTAAAAAAATCTTTCCTTATTTAGTAAGTGGACAAATTTTTTGGGACGTCCCAAAAAGGAAAGTGGGACTAATTTTCCGGGACGGAGGGAGTATATAATATACGTATAAGTCAACTTGCTTCACTATAATTGCAACACTAATGCTATTTGTACACGACATTTGTACACGTCATTTTACACGCCAGTCAAATTGTATGTGTATAGACAATTTAACTAGCTTTTTGTGAGAAGAAACGTTTTTCACACAAATGATTTTTTTATTTGTGACACAAATGGCGTGTACACGAAGCATAACTGTAATTGCAATGACATGTGTCATCCTTAATAGGCTGGCAATCATTGCGAACTGTGTCTAATTTAGTTTTGTGTTTTATTATACTTTTTAGGTACATAGTTAATATGGGCAGTTCATATTAGGCCATCCTGACAGGATCCGTGATGCTGCCGCCATTTGGGCTTTTTCGGTGGAATTTTTTGATCATGTTCTTCATCAAGTGTAGTTTATGTACAACAAATTTCAGTTTAAAATACAACGGGACAAATGCAATTACGAAAGCGGGTCCTGTTAGGACGGCGTGACGGGATCGCTACTCCATAGTTAATAAATAGCTATCTTTTTTAAACTCTTTTATCGTTATATATTAATCATAAACAGATTTGTTTCTACCACATGATGTTTGACCTGAAACGAAAATAGAACTCAACCCAATAAGAGCCATGCTTTAATTAAGATTTTCAGGTCGATCTACATACTTCCTCACATGGCAGCCTTTCTTTAAAGCATGTTACAATTGACAATTTTAAACATCTGATTCACAACAACTATTTCTTTCACAACAACTATTTCACAAGTAAATAATTATTTGAACTATACATGCAATAGAATGAGCAGCAAACCGATAAATCAACAATATACTTGCTCAAATGTTAGTAAACAGACCATTACTGTTAGTGCTCTTTGTTTTTGTTAGTACTACATAATTTATTCACATATAGTTCACGTGTAATATACTCAAACGTATAATTCACGTATAATACTCACGTTTATTCAAAACCCATCATTAAACTAAATAAAGGTAAGTGGAGTGATACAAATGAAATGAAATGTCTAGCTGCTCAATACTATATATATTGCTTAAAAATTTATTATGCCTTAAACGTTCATTAATTGTTTAATAGACATTAGATTTCATAAATTAGTTCCTTAAAGTCATAATCTGTTTCGATATTACTATTGTACGAGTATTACTCTTGTGTGCTCGACCCATACCAAGACTCCAAACCGAAAAATATTGCGGTGTCTCACCAAACTCACGGTCATAGTAATGACAACTATTCTCTAGTAATATCTCTCTACTTAATTCAACTCAAATAAGCAATGTCATTTTTATTTCTTAAGTGTACCAACTGAAGAAAAAAAATGTTCCATAAATTTTAAACTATTGAAGAATGTGTTGCATATGTTTAAATACTCTTTATTTCTATCATTAAATTAGTATATAAGACACACATTATATACCATGTTTTTAAACTGTGAAATGTTTGAAACACGTCCGTGTCTTTATGCATTTCACGAACGTATGAAACTTATATGTAGTCGTATTTTAAATAATTGTATCGTATTATATATACACGAACGTATGTATTATTATATTATTCATGAACCGTAAAATACTAACAAAGTTATTTGTGAATGATTTAAGCTTTAGTCTGAGCTATTTGTAAAATTAAGTTTTTTTTAAAGGTGTGAAATTAAGTTTTTATTTAGTCTTATTTAGGACAATTACTTTTTTGATCATGATTTAGGACAATTACTAAATATAAATATTACGGATACTTGCAGGTTGTGTGAAGAGGAGGAATAAACTATTACACAATTGTTTAAAAACAGTAGGGCTTTAAGAGAAATCTGGAGCAAGTTCGGGCAGTTTCCCCAACAGCAGAATCTTTCTTGGCACGAATGGATGCAGCTGTTATTTAATAAGGTTAGTGATGAGAATTTGTGTGTCTTTATTACTTTATTGTGGAGTATTTGGAAAGACAGGAACGACAAGGCCTGGAACGACGTGAACTTTGACTGTGCACACGTTATAAGCTCTGGAGCAGCAACCTTACAAAGCTGGAGGGAGACACATGGTACTTTGCTGCAGAAATCAGCAACCGAGTCACGAGTTGGCTCACGCTGGGTCCGTCCTCCAACGAGTTTTATTTTAAAGTATATAAACACAAATGGGGCTGTTAACACGCGAGGCGGGAGGAGAGCCTGGGGTGAGTTGCACGTGATGAAGATGGTAATTTCATTACAGGAGGTTGGGAATCATGTGATGCGAACTGGTCACCCCAAATAACGGAGGTGATGGGGCCGCGAGAGGCAGTTTTCTGGGCAAGAAATCAAAGATGGAAGTAGGTGATCTTTGAGACGGATTCGTTGGTTGCTGTTTCAAGGTTGGACGAGGGGGACTCTTATCTGGATGTTATTTTAGAAAATACTACGTATTAGACAGATTCTTGAGGTTGAAACCAGCTTTTCTGTCAATTATTGTAAGCGATCTGTGAATAGTGCTGCTCACAATCATGCCAGGGAAGCACTTTCTATGTCGGATGACAAGTTCATTTTTGATTCTATCCCGAGCTGTATTTTTTGTGAGTTGGCAAACGATAGCTTGATCTAACGAAGATAGGTGTTTTTTAATCAAAAAAAAAAAAAAAATTAAATATTACGGAGTAATAATTAAAAGAAATTTAAATGTTAGTACGAAATTAATTGCGTCGAGGCAGTTTTCATTGCCTGCAAACCGTTTCATGACGCCAAGCACCTTCGAGAAGGCAGATGACGTTCCCCGGAAAACCCTAAACCTCTCTATAATCAACGACTCACCACATGTAACTCATTGATCATTTCAGCGTTGTATAACATTCTTCTACAAGGCGTCACAAGCTTTGAGCTCGAAATGGGCAGATTGAGCTGGATTAGGCTTCCGTCAAGATCATTTGTTCATAATATTTTGGTAGGTCCATTAAAGATTGAGCGTTCACATATATAGTTCAATTAACTACTCACCTTAACTGCATTTTTCCCCAATAACGTTTTTGCAGTCTCCGCATAGAGTTGTTGCTGAATCAGCCGTTAGAAGCACAATTTTGCGCTGCCCTAGGAAATTCCAACGAGCATTGTCGCAGAGTAGATGTAAAATTTTCTATTGCAATGAGTCTTTAGATATCAAAATGTGTTTTTTCTTGATATTATTATTATTATTTACATCAGATTACATTATCTCAAGATAGATAATTTTTTCGTAACTTGGACAATTTTAGTTGTGGGGTTACTCATACTATCAGTGCGTTTGCTTATATGTCAGCTATGTACAGTTGCAATGTTATTGGTATGGCAGCAAGTTTTGCAACTGGTGAATGTCCCTCATCAAGGCATTTTATACACTCTACAGGTTCCTATCATACATGAAGTGACCTTTTTATATGATACAGATATACAGTCAGATAGTATGTGGTTTCTTGTCTAGTTATCTTGTTGGTTCACTTGTTTGCATTGTTGGTAATGTCAAGACATTGTTGATCATATACCAGGAGTTTGTCACTCTATGGAAAAAGATTATTATGATCTCTTAGGAGTTTCTAAAGGCGCCAGCCCAGAAGAGATTAAAAAGGCTTTTCATGTGGTAAGTAAATATGTCAATGCCTTTCCAATGTTTGAATAGTAGATGATTTCTTTTGATCTTCAACTCTTAGTTTTGGTGTGTTGATCTTCAATGCCTTTCTGTGTTTATATTTTCCACTTTTGAGCAAACAACTACGTAGTATAATAGATCCATGTGATTTAAGCACATTAATAGTTGTTTTCTGGGAAATTGCCCTAAATAGGACTAAAAACGTTTGTGTATTCCAAACCAGGACTTTCATGTTTTATTCCCTAAATAGGAGTAATTACTACCATGTTTTGGCAGTACTAGACTTGAAAGATGACAGTATTTTCCAAGCTTGACAGTAATTACTCCTATTTAGGAAATAAAAACATGTCGGTCTTATTTTGGAATTCTGAAACTTTTTACTCCTATTTCAGGAATTTTCCCTTGTTTTCTTCATACACCAACGTGAGGGAACATTTGTGCTCTCAATTAATCTCACAAGACTGAACATTTACTTGAGCAACATTCCCAGTATGTACAGCTTTTCCTCTATAGTGCATGCCAGCATGCTTAATATGAACTAATGGCTTTACTTCTAAACACTTTGTAGCTTGCAAAAAAATACCATCCAGATGCCAATAAGAATAATCCATCTGCAAAGAGGAAGTTTGTAGAAATAAGAGATGCATATGAGGTTTGCAGTTCTTTCCTATTAGTTCAATATATTCTTGCTACTCAATTGTTTATTACTCCCTCCGTCCCGCTATGATTGTCTCATTTTACCTTTTCGGTCCGTCCCACTAAGATTGTCTCATACCTTATTTGGTAAAATTTGTATGGTTCTAAATCATTCTTACTTTATTCTTACTTTATCAATTCAATATCAACCACATAAACCCACTTTTATTAATAAACGTGCCACCTTCTCTTGTCCCAAACTTAGGGGGACGGAGGTAGTACTATTCATTGAATTGTTTATTATTTGACATTATCATTGTGAAAGGTGAATTCAGACTCTGCGAGATCCTGACAAGAAAAGACAATATGACATGGTAATATATATCTAAAAATTGATTATACTGTTCAGTTTCAATGAGCTATATGACTGTCATTGTTTTCTTCTTAAACATTCTGCAACTAAATGGATTTCACCTTTAACAGGCAAAGGAACATTCACAAAAAACTGAAGATTCAAACTTTGGCTATGGGAGTGCGGAAGGATTTAGATACAGCGGAAACTTCAATGATTTCTCTCATTCTTTCCAAAAAATATTTTCTGAGGTTGTTTTACTCAAATTGTTTCACTGGCATGCTGCGTGCAGATCTGTAGTCTTTTTTCTAACCATATCGTATTTTCAACACGTTTAGATATTTGAAAATGAGACAGAAGCTTTCTCAGATGATATTCAGGTTTGTGCTTGTTGTTTGCTTTACTTTTACAATAAGAGTCTGCCAATCCAACTTTGTTCTGTATGACTGAATTTCAAGTTTAAATTTGAAAGGTGGAGCTTTCTATTTCTTTTAGTGAAGCTGCTAAAGGATGCACAAAGAATTTGTCATTTGATGCAGATGTCCCCTGTGATTTATGTTGTAAGTAGATTTATCCTCAAGCTTTCAGTGTCCTTGAAGAAGCATCATGTATCATATTCCTGTTATTTGTTATCCTGTGTGTTCAGCTCTGTTGTCATACTCATCTGTTAGCTGCTTCTCCTAGTCATATTTTTTACTACAAGTACAAGCAATCAAACATACCGATGGCAGGCATTTTCAATTCATAATTAATTCACATTGTCCTTCATCCTCATGTAGGTGGGCATGGCTACCCACTGAATGCAAAGCCAAGAGTCTGTCCAACATGCCAAGGCCTTGGGCGAGTAAGTTATTAGTTTGTATAGGTTTGTACGTTGGTAGAGTTTAATTTCCTTTTTGTTAGCAGTTTGAAATTCCTTTCACCATCTGTCACATGTTTGTAATTTATTGCCATGCACATCAGGTTACTGTCCCCCCATTCACGGCAACATGTAGCACTTGTAAAGGATCTGGAAGAACCATTAAGGTTGGTTTAGTGTGAATACTTATTATTCTGCTCAACAGTTTTAGAACTTATGAAGTGTTGCAGTGTGACCGAGAGGTCACGGGTTCAAGTTTTGGGAGTGGCCTCTTATAAAAAAATTGACAGGGGAAGACTTGACCCTTATAGGCTTATACACCCTCTTGCCGGGACCCTTTCCCGGACCTTTGCCTTGCGGGGATGCCTTCGTGCACCGGGATGCCCTTTTTATTTAATAGTAGTTGAACTTATATTTTTTGGTCTGTGCGGTTATAGGAAACTTGTAAGGAATGTAAAGGATCTGGAGTTGTTGGAGGTGTTAAAGATGTTAAAGTAACCATACCACCAGGTTGGTGACAATTTATATTTCTTCTCTGCTAAATATATACTCCCTCCGTCCCCTTTTAAATGTCCCGTTTTACCATATTGGGATGTCCCTATTTAATTGTCTCATACCTTATTTGGTAAAGTTTGTGTGGCTCAAAATCATTCTTACTTTATTCTTACTTTATCAATTAATATCAACCACCCAAACCCACTTTTCAAAAAACTCGTGTCACTTTCTTTTGGGACATTTAAAAGGGGACGGAGGGAGTATGTAGTATATCGTACCACAACTTTTTATGCCTTTGACCAAATTTTAAAATTTGCGGAACACATTGATACTCTGTTGGCATGACAAGGATTACATATTTGCTCAAATCGACCCTTTTATACTTGAAAAATTCAGTGGAACCTGAGTTCCTTGGTTGGATTAAAGATAAAAACAAATTCAGGACTAGATCGGAAAATAGAATTAAATTATTTATTGATTTACGTTTAATACTTGTTGCAATTGATTTAATGCATGTATGAGTGTGTGAGCTCATTCACATCACATATATACATATGTTTGTGCGTCTAGCACTCTAGCATGTAATGCAGCCATGTACTTTAACTATCATCTGCCCCCCAGATCATGTATGTCAAAGGCAGTGTAGAAAATTATGTATAAAAATAGCTCAAACTCCATTTTAGTAGAAAGGGCTAAGAAAGTGTTTGCATTTGCTTATGCTAATTATAAGTGATTTATTTAAGAGATTATGAAGAAAACACTTAATGGTAAAAGCTTGCAGTGTTTAAGAATAGAAGTGAGTTTCTAAAAGCAGAAGTTGAAGAGTTTGCTAAAAAATAGTACAAATTTGGATAAAATATTATAGAGAAAGTGAAAAGCAGTTTTAGCCCCTCCACTTACTCATTTTAGCTTTATAGTACTTAAAGGTAAGCAGAAGCACCAATGTAACCAAAATGCACTAAAGTGTTTTCTAAAAGGTGTTGCAAACACTCCCTAAGCATTCTGGCTTTATTGGAATAATATGTTGCAAATCCTTATTGTTCTCATGCTTTTTATTCATGAATTTATAGTGGGAGTACGGTGCTTATGGTGATGGTAAATGAGTTATTATCTTTATGATGCCTACACACCTGACCTGATACCCACATATGTAAAAAAATATAACAGGTATGGATTCTGGCGATACTATCCGTGTACCGAGAGCCGGGCATGCGGGGAAGCGAGGGATGCAACCAGGAAACCTATTTATAAAGCTGAAGGCATGCTCTCTTCTGAATTTAGTTTGTTTTTCTGTCCTGATTTGTATGTAATCCCATTTCTCCTACCTTTAATATACTCCGTATGTTTATTTTTTTACCAAACATACTCTGCCAAAAAATATTCTCCTATTTTTTGACACCCAACGGGGTCATGCCATAATCAGAATATGTTCTTGCTTTTTATTAATCAATCAATTTTCAATGGAATACTATAATTTCAAGCGAGTGCCAGTCCTAGATTCGTTTCCTTTAATAATTCCATTTCTACTTTTCTCTTTGTAGCTTTCTGCCTTCTGAAACTCGTAAGTGGGGTTGATTCTTAATTAGTGGTAGCTTCAAAACTTTGTTGTTTCTTTTCCCAGGTTAATGCAGATTCTGTTTTTGACAGAGATGGTGCTGACATTTATGTTGATGCTAATATCAGTTTTACACAAGTATGTCATAACTTACTAGATAATTCCCTGAATCTGTGATATATTATAAAATTTATCTGACTAGAAAATTATTACATGGTGTGGGGACTATAGCTGTCATGGCGCTGTCTAGGCATCCATTAGGTGACGGAGCAACACTTAGGAGTCTAAGGAATGGAGAGCACTCTCCATGGATGGTAGCTTGCCTGAAGAGTGCCGAACACTGAATAGCATTGCATAGATGTCAACTGAGATAAGGGTCAGTTTGGTCCTTGAAGTTGCAAAAAAGGAGTCAAATAAGTCCTTATATAGAAGATTCTGTCCGGAAGTGTCATTTGAGGTGGCTCCCGGTGGAATTTTTTGATGAATTTTTTTGAGCATCTTATTCATTAAGTCTAGTTTACTCATATCAAATTTCAGATAAAAATTCAATCAGGAAGACATTGAAATGAATTCTTGAAGATAATTGTGCCGTTAAAAGCGTAGTTATCTTCAAGAATTCATTTGAATGTCTTCCCGATTGAATGTTTAGCTGAAATTTGGTATGAGTAAACTAGACTTAATGAATAAGATGCTCAAAAAAAATTATCAAAAAAATCCACCGGGAGTCACCTCAAATGGCACGTCCGGACATAATCTTCTATATAAAGACTTATTTGACACCTTTTTTGCAAGTTCGAGTACCAAACTGACCCTTTACTCGATGTCAACTAGGCATCCTAGGGCGCCAGAGACATGTTTTTTCCATATCTATTTTGACCAGGCAGAAACCTGCCAAGTTTGCATTTTCTTTCTCACTTTTCTTCTTTCTATCTTTCCTTCTCTTCATTTAGTTATCTTTTTCTTTATACTTTTTTTTGTTTATTTAGCGACCACCACATGAATGAATCACATCACTACCTTTTGTTAAAATTTTGTAATTTACTGTATTAAAATAGATATTAGTCTTTTGTTTTGAAATGCTACGATGAATTAATAATTCATATACATAGCATTATATTTCATACTACGTATTAATTTCATATAATATATTATATTCAAGTATTGAACATCAACCAACTTTCGATTTTCCCTTCTAACAAAACTTACTGTCTTGATAAATAATCATAGAAGAGAATTGGGAAGTAAATAAATATTAGCCCTTGAACTATTCCACCTCCATTATAGGTGAGGTGGACTTCAGCACTTATGTCTTGACTCCTAGTAAAGATATCTGATATTTTACAATCAGAATGAGATATGAAGATATACTCCTAGATAGTTTGCTTATACTCTTAAGAAGTTTGGGCCTTTTGCAGGCTATTCTTGGTGGTACGGTTGATGTACCAACTTTATCCGGGACAACATCAGTGAAGGTATGGTGGCCGATTGTCATGAGTTATTATCTGTTCTGTGCAAATCTCTTTGCTGTGTCCAATATTGTGGTTTCATATGGTCTAATGTTGTTTTGTGATTTCACTTGTGTAATAAAAGGATTGCTGAAGAAAACGTTGACACTTGACATTATATGTTGTATCAGTCATAAAAGCTGTAAAATGTTTATAAAGCAAGTATTCAAAACATAATAAATAGTTATATGCAAAAGCAAACAATAGTCATTAAGGCATGATTTGAAATCCAGTAAGTAGCAAGTATTATATTGGCATGCAAAATAAATGGATTTACATATGAATAGAGTAAACACTTATATGTTTTATAATTAAAACTTTTCTACTTTTATATGCTCTTGATTAAAGATGATTTGTATTCATATTCCTTTTTTAGACTTCAACTCGTGACTCCTCTTATCGTGCTTTCTACACTAAATCTTTCAAAACTGGGTTGCAGCTGATAGCTCTAAATATATGTTTGTTGTTGAAATTTGAAACTTGAGACTTGAAAGTGAAGGAGGTTTTTTCTTTCAACATCTACGCTTTACCCCCTTCCCCTGAAAAAAAAGTCCTATTTGGTGGAGGTACAACCTTTTTAGTTTTGAAAGGTACAACCATTAGTCTTTCTTTTCATAAAAATGTTCCCATTCACAGTCCAAAAGTTGATATGATTGCTAGTGTGTTTATGATGACTGCTCTTCAGATCCTTTTGTGGTTCTTGTATTGATCAAGGCATCTTGATCCTCCTGTTTATCGTTTACTAATACATCTCACTTCTTTTGAATTCTGGTCTTCTTAGATACCAAAAGGCGTTCAGCCTGGGCAGCTGTTGGTACTTAGAGGGAAAGGTATAGTTTGGAAGTGACTATCTCAATTCTGAGTTTTTCAATTTTGACTGAATAATCACGTTTCATTTTTTAATTAGGCTTACCAAGGAGTGGCTTTATTGTCGATCACGGAGATCAGTATGTAAGGTTCCGCATAAAATTTCCAACGTAATCCCCTAGCACAATTTTTTGTGGGCTAATTATTATTGTTTATATCAATTATAGTTTCACTTTTGTTGCAACTATCATGGTAAAATTTCTAGACGTATTGTGTTGAGTGGATGAGCAGTGTGATATTACTGAGTGTAGCACATTTTGTTTGCTTTTGACTTTCCCATTATACCCTTACAAAAAGTAGATTAGGTGCAGTGGGAGTGAGAAAGTGGGTGTAAAGTAGGTAAATAAAGTAAGGATATAAGAGCAACTTTATATGAAAAACTTGCCAAAAATAGAAGTGAGAACTTTATTTTGGATCTGCCCAAAAAGGAAAGTGGAAACTTTATTTAGGACCGGACCGGAGGGAGTAATAGATATTCAATTAAATATCTGGGAGGGGTTTTGGGGTTTTCAAGAGATAACAGAAACCTTTAAAGGTGCACCTTGTAAATGTCATAACTGCTTCATATTTTGTTTTTGGGAAATGTTTCTCGGTAAATGGCAATATCATATGGCTCCATAGGATAACCCACAACAACATCCAAACCTTAGTCCCAAAAGAGTTTGGGGCTGGCTAACATAAATCAACATATGAACTTAGAGTTAAAAATAGCTCCATATGATAATCCAAAATGTTTTTTTTGCAGAAACTTAAATGATAAACAACGGGAGATTATTGAAGAATTTGCCAAGGAGGAAATTATGTACGGAGATAACATGTATCCACAACAAAATTGGTGAGTACGCTTTTCTAGTCATTCCCGAGTAATTACCTAATAAAATCTCTTCGTATTTTGTGGTTCACTCCATGACGTGCTTTCTGATTTTCTGCATGTTAGTTGTTCATTCTAGAGTAGAATATTTAAATCCATATAATGCATATAAGGGCCCATTCGTTAAGCGGAAAATGCTAGGGGAAGTGAAAAGCACTATGTATGAGGTCCAAGAGGTAAATAAGGAAAGAAAGTGTGGGTGGGGGATGAAGGATAACCTAAAACGCAATAACATTTTGTCGTACATATGTTGATAGTTTGACACATTGAAAGCCAAAGAAACATAACTAATGTAAAAAAAACTACAGTGCATGATAATTATATTTCATTTGTATTTTCATTTTCCTAGGTCAGACTAAACATTGAAAAAGTAAACATTTTTTCGGGATCTGAACATAATGTTAGTGCATGCCTGGTTCAGGTATTTTTGAGGGGAGCGGAGGAGTATGAAATTATCCCTGCTAAATTACCACTCCATTCCTCTCCCCCATCTGAATCAAGCAGACCCTTAAAGTAAGCAGAAAGTATCTCTTGGATTTCTTTGGTTGCTGGCTTGCTGCTTGTGTGGGTCCACAGTAGACATGTTTATCGCATTATTAAATGGGTGTATTGGACAGGCTTGATCAGCAGGTATGTTCTGGTTGAACTTACAGGTGGAATCAGGTGCTGGAGAAATATGCAGTCGAACTCTCACTTCTGGCCTTCCTTCTGCTGCTTTACACAATCCTGTAATATTGGAATGGAGTTAAAAAGACCACAGATTGAAAGATAGTGGTCTTTCCTCAACCTCAAAAGTTTTTACTTGCTCTTCCATTACCTGGTAAATAAACATTTGCTATACATAGATTACAGGTCGTCCATCTCTCCCATGACAGCTTCCTTATCGGGTCTAGAAACGTTTTTCTTTTTTAATTTTATTTGTAATTTCCTACCCAATACAGCTAGCAGGTGGTAAATGGCGATTTTATTTACTGTTTTGGTCTTGTAAGTTGTCAGTTTTTACGCAGTTTTGTAAAGTTAGCAGTATTGTCCACAAAATATGTGAAGTGGTAGCATCTCCGCAGCAGATACCAGATGAGAACCGAGTAGGATGTATAAAGAAAAGGGATCGTTCCACATATCCTTGTCGGGTAGGATAAGCATACACTAAATGAATGGGAGAGCATTGGCTGGTGACGACATAGATGATCTTATCTTAACCGATGTGGAAAGATGATTCTTGTGGCATGTTAAAATCACGTTTTCATTGTCGTTCTTCAATGTAAACAGTATGCTAGATAATGAGAGAATTAATAAATTCGGAGTATTTTATTTTATAGGTTACCATTTAATGATCTCATATCGTACGTATCGTTTGCAATCTTTGTGTGGAGCCATTGTCATTACTCTATTTTCTCCGCACTCAATTCACAATTTTCTTTAGGAGTGTTTGGGTTTGCTTTAAAAAAGTGCTTTTCAGCTTTTGGCTTAAAAAAAGTTGAAAAGAGTGTTTTCAAATGACAGCTTCTGCTTAAATTAATCACTTAAAAGCTAAAAGCTGGAAGCAGGTAGAAGGGTGCTTTAAACTGCTTCTCACTTTTTCTATTACACAAAAAGTACTTATTTTACCAAACACTACCAACTTTTACTTTTCCGGAATCACTTTTTTCTCAAACACTACCAAAGGAGTGTTTGGGATTGATTAAAAAAAGCGTTTTTCAGCTTTTGACTTAAAAAAAGTTGAAAAGAGTGTTTTCAAATGATAGCTTCTGCTTAAATTAATCACTTAAAAGCTAAAAGCTGGAAGCAGGTAGAAGGGTGCTTTAAACTGCTTCTCACTTTTTCTATTACACAAAAAGTACTTATTTTATCAAACACTACCAACTTTTACTTTTTCAGAATCACTTTTTTCTCAAACACTACCAACTTTTACTATTAATCACTTTTCTCAAAATCACTTTAAAAAATCACTTTTGTAAAGTTGAAGCAATCGCAAACACTCCATTTGTTTGTTCAAAACGTCATCTATTAATTATCTACCTTACACGGTTTGAATCTACTTAAATAACTTCTACTTCTTCAGAGAACAAAAGCAAATACTCGGTGTTTGAATACAAGCGTAAAAGCACTTCTAAGTGCTCAAAATTGCTTTGAGAAGTGTATTTTTGGCAGAGCATTTGCTGAATTAATTTCCAATACTCCGGCAATTAGGGATGGACTGGGACCGGGACTGGGACGAGGCCGGGATTGGGAGTCTAGGACTGGGGCCACTGGGCTGGGACCGATACTAAAGATTTCTTGCCTGGTACCCCCGGCAATTAGGGATGGACTGGGACCGGGACTGGGACGAGGCCGGGATTGGGAGTCTAGGACTGGGGCCACTGGGTTGGGACCGATACTAAAGATTTCTTGCCCGGTACCCCGGCAATTAGGGATGGACTGGGACCGGGACTGGGACGAGGCCGGGATTGGGAGTCTAGGACTGGGGCCACTGGGCTGGGACCGATACTAAAGATTTCTTGCTCGGTACCGGCTTGGGCCGTGCCTAAACAGTACCTGGTCGGGATTGGGTTGGGCTCCGGGCCTAAAGAGGATCGGGCCTAAAGAGGACTGGGCCGGGCCTGGACTAAACAGTGCCAGGCCCAGATCAGGCCCGGGTCGGGCCGACCCGTCCCAGTCCATCCCTACTGTCTATTTTGCATTTATTAACTATGCATCTGATATTCCGATGGATCATTAAAATTATTTTTCTAATTTTTTTTAATTAATTTAAAATTATTTTTCTAATTATTGAATCTATTTTCCATCCTTTTTGGAAGTTGGAACACTTAAGTAGCCTATATCACTATATCAGACTTGGCTAATTCTTTGTACATTTTAAAATAGTTTAAAATAACCAATTTTTAAAGTTATTAACAGTATATAGATCTTCATTAGTGCCTAAATCGATTGTATTCCCTAAACTAGTTTAAAATAATCAATTATTCAGTTTAACTAATAATTGAAAATATATTTTAATTTTCATTATATTTATTTTTTCATTCTGTTTGTAACCTTTAACTAGTTCAAATCAGCTTTGGTTTACTGTTTCTACAAATTATATGAACTAGTTTATAATAACCAATTATTTAATTTAACTAATAATCGAAAAAAGGGTATGCACATGCATGTTAAAATTTGATCTCCTTTTGTAAATACTATGCATGCAACTTAAATTAGTTCGATTTACATGTTTCTTCTATTTGTAATTTAATTTTTATTGATATAACAAATTTAAAATTCTAGTCCAATATTAAATTTGATGTGTGACCGCTATTAGTAGTGTAACTTAACTTAAATTTTTTGTCTTGCAATTGATAAGTTTGTCGATTTTATCAGTCAACTTTTTCATCAAACACGTAACTTTTGCTTTCGCGCGCTGAATTGTGTAATAAGCAGAAAAAGTAAGGTTATAGTTACTTTTCTGGATGTATTGACTGAAGTTACTGTAGAAGACTATTTTAGCTATTTTGACATATTTTTTTTCATTTTTTAGTAATAAAATATCTTTTAAAAATAATTTTTTCTTAAATCAACAGAATCAGTCAATGAAGTCACTTCAGTCAGAACTTCATAAATTTCAACAGGATTAGCCAAATCAGCCGATTTTCGTGCTATCAAACGGGCTCTAAATCTACAATCTCCTTTTTTCGGATAATAAAAAGTTTTACTCCCTTCGTCCAAGAATTAACTTCGGTTTTGACTGGGCACGGAGATTAAGAAAGTGAGAAATGTGTGGTGGAGAGTTGTGCAGAGGAGAGAGAAATGTGTAAGAATGGTTGTGAACCACAAATCCTTTGCTAAAAAAGGAAAGAGGAGATAAATTTGGGACGGACCAAAAAAGAAAGAATGAAGATAATTATGGGACGGAGGGAGTATAATGTTATTATAGCACAAGTTGTACTCCCGACTAAAATTCCTAGACAAGCCATTGTACATATTATTGACATGACTGTCATTTGTAACGAGTAAGGCTAACCGCAACCCAGCCCGTCAATAAATCTAATCTCACACCATTGTATACGTATTCACTCAGTCAATTCAGGTTTTCTCCGCAACCCAACACTGTCAATATATTCATTCAGCACATATTTTTTTTTTAACTAAATCCATAATTCCTTATATTTCTTTATCACACGTCGTTTATGTGACAATTTTATTTTTACCAATAATTATGATTTAAAAAGTCAAATATTTTGATATAATAATAAACAAATTTAGATTTTAATTTTTTTTGTTACATCAGACCTATAGTTTAAAAACATAACCAAAAAGTGTAAAAAGATTATCAACAAGATATTGATTTTAACATTTGGATCTACTTAAGAATAATTTCGAGTCTAAAGATCTCCATCAGATGAAACTTTATATAATTTATTAACTTTATATATGTGATATTGGTGTCATATGAAAGATAATAAAAAATTATAAATTCTGATATATTATTTATAAAAATTGGATCATTAATAAAAAAGATATATCAGTTTTTAAAAATAAGGAGATTTTTAGTTTTCATGGAGCCCACTTTGTTTTCTTCCCTGGCACAACAAACGTACCTCTTTTTCTCTCCGCGGGAGTCGATCCACCATCTAAATCCCCACCACCAAGGGTTTCCCCAATCCACTACAAGACCCTCCTATACTAATTTTGGTGTGGGATGCAGTTCAATTTGGGTGAAATCCTCAAATTTGGGTTTCCACCCCTTAGCATTGCGGACAGCCTAAGTGAAACATAAAGTTTGTACTAATTCAGAACGATCGGTCTGAAATTGATGAACAATTTGAATTTAAGTCAATGATTAAATTTCATAGTAGTATATTTTAACACTGGATTATTCGAAGTTTCAATTGAATTAGAAAATCAAAATTAAGATTGATTTCAAATTGATAATTAGAATAAATAGGATTTCATAATAAAGAAAAATAAAATAATGTTGAACAAGGCATTCAATCCTGTATGAGATTGACCTGATGAAACGTGCTGGCCGGGAAATGTCATGGAAACGTCCATCATGAACTTTCAAACCTCAATTGGCCTCCCATTCATCATGCTTGCTAATTAACCTGGATAGGACAATTATATTGGATGATGGAGTCATTAGACCCTAACCCGGCCGGCCTGCCCAATTGAATAGTCTGCATGACATAGTAGAAATATCAGTACATGTACGGGAGTGTTTGCAACCGCTTAAAAAAAGCACTTCTCAGCTTTTGGCTTTAAAAAGCACTTATTTACCAAACACTACCAATTTTTACTTTTTCTCGGCTTGCGTGTGAAAAATGCTTTTCCCTTTTCTATTACACAAAAAGCACTTATTTTACCAAACACTACCAACTTTTACTTTTCAAAATCACTTTTTTCTCAAACACTATCAACTTTTACTACCAATCACTTTTCCCTTACTTCTCCAAAAGTGCTTTTTTTTAAGCAGAAGCAGTTGCAAACACTCCCGTAGTATGTCGTGGTGCTTTATGGCTATCCACATATTTTTCGAGAGGTGAATTTACCTTACAATCTAGTCAAACACGGAGTTTTTTACGAATAACAGATTACATTATTAATATTACTTTCTCCGTATCCGATTTAAGTTTCTAGTTTGACTTCACACATATTTGAAGAGTTTAACTGCTTAACTAACTGGAATAAAGGGGAGTTATTATGATCAGAAAAACCGAGCCACATCAGTTATTATTTGACTTCACACAAATTGTACTGTCTAATTTATAAATCTAATTCACTAATTGTAAATATTACCTCATTATTGAAGCTATTGCACTTAATATGGCAAAAGTCATGTTATGCTTGAAAGCACCTAACAAAATATCAAACTTTCTTGAAAGTGTGAAAACTTGCGCTTGAAGAATAGGAACTTGTGGATCTTAAATACGAATTTGAGATTGTTGAGAGGATGAAGTGTATTTACCCTTTACTACGAATGCACCCTCTTTTTCCAGGTCGCTTAACTTTGGCTAAGTTATCAATTTTCAAATCAATAGTCTCTTCAGAATCTTGAGTGTCCACAACCTCATTCATTATATTAGGAAGATCTTCCTGAAGAGATTAGCTAATTTAGGATTCATATAATAATTGATAAATACCTTTGAAAACATAGTATTCTTTAGTCGTTTGTTCAAACAGATCTAGTCTAAGTGACCCCTTTCCACTCTTTATTGTTTCAAATTAAAATGTGGGTATACGAGGCATAAAATGAGAAACCAATTTGGTACAATAGAATGTTTTATTAAGACATATTGTATATGCAAAAACTATCACAAAAACTTTAGAATCAAATGTAAAAAAGGACTCCCAAATTTGAGCTTGTGGTAAAA